CCTACCTACCTACCTACCTACCTACCTACCTACCTACCTACCTACCTACCTACCTACCTATATTAAAAACCACATATTAATAATTTTCTTTAAGGAAATAGTTATCGGCAATTTTCACATTGCATAGTGGGAGCTTTAACAACAAATAAAACCCCAGGTACAATGAAGAATATAGTTATAAAACTGTGGAGTGTAATCCTCTTGGCCTACAGTAAATGTCTTAAGTAAATACATAAAAGTAAAGGTACAGGTTCCACTCGCACATATGGGCTAGTCGTTCCCAACTGTAGGGGGCTCATCTCCGTTTCAAAGCCAAAGAGCCAGAGCTGTCCAAAGACATCTCCGTGCTCATATGGCTGTCATGACTAAAAGCCGAAGGCGCACGGAATGCTGTTACCTTCCCACTAAAGGTGGTTTCTATTTTTCTACTTGTATTTTTACTTGCTTTCAAACTGCTAGGTTGGCAGAAGCTGGGATAAGTAACAGAGTTCACTCCATTACGTGGCACTAGGGATTCGAACCGCCGAACGGCCGACCTTCTGATCAACAAGCTCAGCATCTTAACTACTGAGCCACCGCATCCCACCAAGTAAATACATAGAAAGCACTAATCTTACCAAACAAAAACAGAACATTTTAATACCTTTCCAAAGTAACGAGGGAACATGTACTGATTTTCAATGACGTGAGCGAAACCACCTTGGAGGCCAAAATCTACAGAGAAGTAAGGCAAACCTTTTGGCACCTAAATACAAAAAAATAAAAAAAATAAAACAAGAACAATAATAATCCAGACAGTGCATTAATTATTTCTTTCAAACATATTAAATTCCAAATCCTTAAAATGTTTAAATTGAAGTTTGGCTTATTTACTTACCTTCAGATATTTTTCAAAATTCTAAAGTTTTCAAATTTACTCAATAGGAATAGCAATAGCACTTAGATTTATACACCACTTGAGAGTGCTTTTTACAGCCCTCTCTAAGCAGTTTACAGAGTCAGCCTATTGCCACCAACAATCTGGGTCCTCATTTTACCCACCTCAGAAGGATGGAAGGCTGAGTCCACCTTGAGCTGGTGAGAATCGAACTGCCGAACTGCAGTTAGCAGTCAGCTGAAGTAGCCTGCAGTAGTGCACTCTAACTACTGTGCCATCTCGGCTCAAGCTAAATCCCAAATGGGTAAGTGCTTTTGAAGAGTTTGGGGAAAGGGGGTGGGGAGAGAGGTGCGAGAGCAGCTTTGCTTTTTGCCCATGAAAACATACAAACATTTAAAATACTGTATATTTTTGAAATATTGTTTTTGAATATTCTGTATTGCACATAGCTTTATATGTAGCTGAGTCTGGCCTGTATTCTAACTATTCTTGGATGAAGTCAGTTAAGCAAAAGTGTTTGATTTCCTGATCAAACTTGTGAGTGGAAGGAGGTCAATGTAGGATAGATTCGACCCTAGCTGGTAATTGTCAGTTTCTGGCTGAAACTAAAATTTTTGCACTGTGGGCTTAACAACCCATGACAAATGGGAGCCATGGTAGAATAAACTCCCAAAGGACACATTGCAGTCATATGGTCTCTCAGCCGAGCTTTTGTTACCAAGGAAATACAAGTAGAGGTTCTCTTAAACAATGAGCTACCGATGCAAAATGGCCTACTTTTGGTAATCAATAATGTTAGGACTTGTAATCAATAATGTTAGGACTTCGAGACTCAACATCAAGCCAATTATTAGCATCTTACAACTTTAGAATTGCCTAAGTAGCAAAGAACTTTCTCTTGGGCCTGCTTTAACATTCTGCTATCTGCCTTGCTAGAAGGCTTCTTTCGTAAGATTTCCTTGGAGGAGCAAGCATGCCAAATGTTGAAGAAACTAAACACATCCTAATAATGGCTGTCTCCAGGCAATTACAGCATCTCCTCCTGCTGTTAAAACTGGCAGCCTAGGCAAATTGGTACCTACAGAGGGGAAACTGTGATGGACTACAGTGAAGCAGAGCAATTTCCCAGGAAGACAGGTGAGACAAGAGGCATCATAGCCCAGGGCTGGATTCAGAGGAAGAATGTTAGAATAGTCACTCCCTAAAATTTCTCAGGACATATTCATTAGGATGAGAGTAATAAGTGTTTAGACTGGCAAGATTCTGTCTATTGTGCGTAAACAAATAAAAAACTGAACTTTTGGCTGGGTTGTGCTATGTCGTTCTCGGACTAAAGCCTGACACAGCCAGGCATTACATAACATTCCTACAAAATAGTGACTTTGGATAAAGGAAGCCATGATATTGTGTAAACACTGTATTTGAGTTCTACATATCTTATGTGTAATATTGCTGAGTTGTGATGATCATAAAGTTTCATGAACTCATTCTACACATTTTCCATACTGTTCAAAACTGTTAGGAAAACTGAGGTGCAAAAGTTTGCTTCTTTATTTTAAACTGTCATTAAAACAAACAGTGGTAAAAAGAAACAGCACTCTGGGCCACTTGCCACAACCATATGAATGTTCATCACAGGGCAGTCAACGGGCTATTTAATGAAACACTAATTCTTAAACAAACAGAAAATCCAGAATTAATAATTTGTAAGTGACTTGGAGAACCTTATGGGCATATGGTTAGTAAATAATTAAAAAGTTAAAAATTGGAAACCTGGACTAGATGAAAACTACAAACATTGCAATGTCAATCCAGAGTCTCCTCCTGCCAACAGAGGAAATTATGTAATTCTTCACTCTCTTCCAACCCCAAAACACTCTGAAGTGTCGAGCAACTCTCCAGTATATAGCAATAGCACTTAGACTTCTACTATACCGCTTTACAGCCCACTCTAAGCAGTTTCCGTGTCAGCCTCTTGCCCCCAACAATCTGGGTCCTCATTTTATCAACCTCGGAAGGATGGAAGGCTGAATCAACCTTGAGCCTGATGAGATTCAATCTGCCAAACTGCTGTCAGCTGGTGATCAGCAGAAGTAGCCTGCACTACTGCACTCTAACCACTGCGCCACCACGGCTCATAACATCCATTCATTCAGCAAGGCTATCTCTTTCAGGGAGATTCCTCCACAATCAAGAGCTTTCTGTACAAGCAAAGCTTGTACAGTAGTCCTTAGTTAAGCACTGTACCTGCATGTATTGTCAAGCTTCGAAATTGCATGTTCACTGTTATAACTATTATTGCTTCTCAGCTTGCCAACAAACTCGGGGGGGGGGGGGGGGGAGATGTAATGTAGGCTCCAGACATCAAGAAGCCAGTTGTAAAATGAAGGAAACGTTGGCAGGCGTGTACCAAAGCCAAAAGACTCATAACAATACCAGGAGACTCCATTGGACAATGTGGTCTGGTCTAATAGGGGGAGGGAGAATTTAAACTTTAACTATGTGGATTTCTGCGAGACATGGTTTAGATCTGGTTTTGCCCTCATCTTGGCCGAAATGCAAATAAATAAAGGCTGACTAATTTTTGTGGAGTATTTTTCGGACTATAAGATGCACTAGCTAAACATGCTACTATGCCTTAAAAAAATTATTCCAAAAATTTTGCTTTGCAAAATTTATTTTGATGCCTTCCCCTAGTCAATTTATTGTTGAAGAATAACCAGAGAAAGTTAAGTGGGAATACCAAGCAAACCAAAAAAAAAAAAAGAACACACATGATTTTATGGTAGAAGCACTAAGTCCTGAAACTTAGTTGTGCATCTATAAAATGAAATGAAGGTTGATACTTTACTTTTTATTCTGAAAATAAATGATCCTAACATTACTGCATGCTTTTATGATTTAAAAGAATGGTGTTAAATAACCCATTACATAACTCACTCATTTTTCTTCTATAAAGTCAAATAACACAGGAGCACATGTTAATAATTTTTTTTAAAAAAAATGGCATTGGATGGGAAACTATGTACTAATACTACATAGTTTTTCTATGCCTATCTTAATCTTGTACCTTTAAATTCTGTGATTTATTAATTGTTCTTTTCCCAGCTTAAAGTTGCTCAGTATGAAATATAATAGAAGTAAACACACTGCAAAGCAAAACACCATTTAATGGTGTTTCTGTGACCCGAGATAAAGTATTATAAAAATAAAATGGATGCAAAGGATATCTATCTGCACAGGAAAAAAAAGATAAAGGTAAGCCGGAATGAGAGGAGAGCATTCTGTGGCTTGCAACACAATGATGGGTGGCAACCTCATTAATTTCCCTGCTGATAAACAAGTGGCTTTTTGGCAGGCCTGTCAGCTATGAGCGCCTTGTTGTAAATAGGCAAGTTCAGCCTTTGTAAATGTATCCATGACATGCTTTCAAAAATACAAAATGTTGCCTCATCCTGAACTAAAAGGTCTACTCTTTGTATGATTTAGAACAGTGTTGGCTAAACTTTTTGTCGTTGCGTGTTGAAAGTGCGTGCCCACACCATAATGCAATGCATGTGTGATCCCCCCGTACTTCCCCACACCCATGCATGTGCACATGACCCCCACACAAGCTTGCATGACCCACACACACGCCCTGACCCTCTGTCCATGCATGTGCTTCTCCCAAATACAGCCTTCCCCCTGTGCATGCGCAGCAGAGACCCAATAACCAGCTGCCGGCAGGAGGTCCACTTGTATCCGTTGTGGAACTGAATTGGGGTGATGGCTTGTGTGCCCTCAGAGAGGGCTCTGCGTGCCACCTGTGCCATAGGTTCGCCATCACAGATTTAGAATCTATTTTCTCAAAATATCAAAGTCATTGTATAGCTATTGAAGTTAAGGACGGAGGCAGGGAGGGAGAGGCAGGGGGAGAGGAAGAGAGGGAGGGGGAGAAAGAGAAATTTTGGAAACTTCAGAATAAATACTTGGTTGCCCTGAAGAACTACGAATTAGGAGTGACAGGAAAATAAATAATAACTGCTAGTTCTGTACAAACACTGGGTGAGACATTTCAGTTGACAGATTGACATGGATCTAGTAATTAGATTTCTCTACATGGTGAACTCCCAACGTAATGAATTCCCAAAGACAGTGAATATAGCGGTTTCTACTAGATTTATTTATCCAATTTCTACATCGCCGTCTCACCTAGTCTAAGTGACTTCAGATGCTTTACAAATAAAAAACATAGACCAATGTAAAGCAGAGTTAAAAACAAAGTTAAAACTGAATTGAAACCAAGTGAAATTTTAGGGTTTATTAAATTAAATGTAAATTTATTAAAAGTAAATTAAAGGTTACAAAGTTAAAAAGGCCTTGAAAAGTTAAAGATTCAAAGTCCAGCCTTCCCCATGGAATCTCAGTAGGTGATTTGGAGCCAATTGTTATTTCTTGGTCCAAAATACCTCACACAGTTTGGAAAATGAAAATGAAACATGTTCTCTTTATAAGCAGCACTAAAACCCTGGAAGAAAGGCAGGATAATAAAGTAAAATAAAATAGCCTTTCCACCCAATTCTGCATCATAGCTCTTCTGAAAGAAACAAACCACCTAGCTGAAAATTTCAAATTATTCCAAGTGAATGTGACTCTCAGAAGCCACTGCATATAAATGCATCTTTCACTAAACTCTCAGTGAATTCAATGGGACTCAACAGAGTAATTACATATGTAAGACATATGGAACTGAAGCAGAGAAAAGCTGTCAATAAAGCCAATACCTTCAAGGATTACCTTACGAGATAATTAAAAAAGTATTCCCATGGATATCTCTCGGAGTTTTCTTGAAATACACCAGTCACTATGGTTAGATTTAGCCTTGGCATTCAGATGTGTTCTTTCATCAGCTGTATTTTTCTATGTAGTCTTTCATTATAAAGGCGCTGTCTTTTAAAAGCACTGCTCACATTCACAAGTAGAAATCAGCTCTGCATTACAAGTGATGAGCTTGGAATACTTACCGATTTGCGAACATCTTTTGAGCCTAGATTAATTAGTTTTTTATTCATGGCCCACTCTTCGTCTGATTCCATTATAGCTTTCTGGGGAGGGGGAAATATTGCAAAATATATAAAACGACCAGAAATTGGCAACGCATGACACAAAGTAGAATTCATTTGAGCCTCTCCCCACCCCACCAAATTATGATCAGAATGGAGACTGCAGATTCTTTATCTTTCTTCCCCCTGTTCAACTGTGTCAGATTCTCGGAGACTGTAGTTATTTTAGCAAAGTTTTTCAAAAGTGGTTTGCCATTGGCTTCCTTCATAGCGCTGTGAGAAAGCGACTGGCCCAAGGTCACGCAGCTGGCTTTGTGCCTGACAGTCTCCTGGTTTCTAGCTTTTTATACACCTTAACCATTATGCCAAACTGGCTCTCAGAAATTTCATTAGTACATATTAATTAGGTAATTCAATTTTGTGTATTAGATTAAAGTCTAATGAAGACTGATGCAGTAATAACTTTACTCTGTACCTTTTCTCTTTTTATTTTACTGTTTCAGAACTGCAGTTTAAATGTAATCTGACATAAATTAGTTCAAAATAAGAAAGTTCACATTATAGAATTATACTTGCTGTTGCCTCTGAATAATTGCGACAATTATGTGAAATCTATTTACGTGTATACCAGGGGTGGGTTCTGGCTGGCGTTACTGCCAGTTCACTCGTGCGCGCGCAATTAGAAATTGTTCTGCACATGCGCAGAACTAAAAAAAAAAGATGATGGAGACAATGGCGGGGAACGTGGAACCGGTTCGGAGGTGTGGCCAGCCTGTGTCACTGCCGGTTCTGCGACCCACGCCCGCATGCCACTACCAGTTCAGCTGAACCAGGCCAAACTGGTAGGAACCCACCTCTAGTGTATACACACTCACACACCACCACTATCACCATATGAAGGAAAAGGAAACTCAGGCCAAAGAATCACAAATGTCAGTAAAAGCTCCCATATTTACTAATATCTTCACATGGCATTTAAATTGCTTCAATATACACAATATATAAAAGGCATTTTGGATTCAACATGTCTGTTGGGGCAAACATATCCAAATCAGCCATCTTTAGAAAAATTTGATTTCCATTTTACAACATCCTATATTTCACTTCTACTGGTGGGTCTCATTCATTTCAAAAAGTTTTCTTTCCCCTCTCTGATCCCCTGGGAAGTGGATCAAAACAGATAATACCAACTCCACAGCTAGTTTAATATGACTATTTCCAGGTAGTGGCATACTTTAAAAAAATACTTTGTTGCTAAAAAGAATTGAAAGGAAGAAAAAAGAAAAGAAAAAAAGAATCATCATCTGAATCTTCAACAAGCAGTAATCTTTTTGCTGATGGAAGGTCTTGTTAAAAATAAAAATACAGTTTCTATGAAGTGCCTATAAAGGAAAGTATCTGATAGAGATGTTTTAAAAAATTGTTACCTTGAAATAAATGGGAGCCATATCCCCCACTTCCTTTGGGAGAGGAATACATTCATATATCATGTGATATTGTTTGCTTATACTTAAATTTGTCTCCAGAAAGACACAATCCAATTCTTCAGCTTCAAACATCTTTACCAAGGTTTTTCTGAATACCTGGTACAAGAAAAGGTGGGGTGGAGGGGAGGAAGGGAGAGAGATAGAGAAGAAAACAATAGTTATTCCAACCTTAACATTATTAGGCAATGTGACTATGCAAATGTCTGCAGCGAACTGAGAAACTTTACGCTTTTCACAGTATTAAAAGAAATCAAGTCTGGTTCCAAGTTGTGAGGGGGAAAAACTCCACTTGAAATAAAATGGAGGCTGGCTACAAGAAAAAAAGGTCTCAGTTTATTTGGTTTTCCAGAAACTTCAGAGATAGCAGCATGTTTCTGCAATGGCTGACAAAATGGCTGAGTGATGCTCCAGGGGGTTGTGCAAAGTAGTGAGCCTTGGGTCTTTTACTGTTCTAATGGAGGTGGGTAAATCCTATAATGCCCTAATGGACACGTCACGTCCTTAGAAATTGGGTGGGGGGCATGTAAATGCTTAATCTGATCAGCTCCAGCCTTCTGTGAGAGTTTGTGGCTAAAGGAGTTTTGTTTATTAATAGATTGGCCCAGTCTTGGCTCAGAATGGATACAAAATCTCCTATCCAAAAGACCAGTTTCTTCTGCTTGAGGCTGTTTTCCAATGGCAGGAAGACTGGTGTTAGGTAAGCTCCCTGTTGGGAGAGCGAGTGCGTTCAGAGAAGCGTTGTGAGAGTCGTGTTGGAGAACACACAAACCAGCATACAGAGACACTGCAGTTTAAATAGGCTTTTACTTTAACAGTCCAAGTCATACATGGATAAGATAGTCAGTCATCAACGTCTTTCAGTTAAGGGATAATCCAAATAACATAG